GGGCCTAATAGGTGTTCGCGTCCCTCGATTGCTCAATGTAGCGTTAGGTGGATGTACCGCACAATAACGTTTAATAACCTATCGATTCCGCTGTTCTTTTTTGTCAATCATTGTGCGTAAACTTTTTATTACCGACCAGTGACGCATCTTGCTTCGTCCGCCCCGACTCAGTCACACGCTCCCGCCCTTCTGTCAATCATGTTCAATCACTCAATCTCCACGTTTATTGATCACCCACTCCCCATGCATTTTCTTGCTTGCTACGAATCAGACTAGTACTGTGCGTCGATGGATTCGTCGTCTGCGTGGTGTCCTTGCCCGTGCTACTGCGTCACTGTGCCCCCGACTATCGATCTCTCCGCTCTGCCTGCCCACTATGTGCTCACCTCCACCTTCCTATCTCCCTGTCTCTCGCACTCACTCTGTGCGTCTTATACCCACCCATCGTATCTCTTCCCATTCGACCCCCTTCGACCCCCCCTTTCCCAGTGTGGTGTGATTGGTCCCATATTTACATACTCCCCCGGACACGGCCTGGGTCTTCGGACATGGGACGTCGAGGCCGCATAACAACATACAGCTCATGGCGTTCCTGCGGCTCTCGCCGACTCTCGACTCCTGGGCCGCCGAGATCGACGTGTCGGCCGAGTCATTGGCCGAGGCGTACGGGCTCGAGCTGCCCGGCAACGCCATGCTCGCCGAGCCCGGAGAAGGAGAACGCCGGGCGCACGCCGGGCCTCGACGTCGGCAAGTACGTCGCCATGGACTGCGAGATGGTCGGCGTCGGCGAGGGCGGGCACGAGTCGGTGCTGGCGCGCGTGAGCCTCGTCGACTTCCACGGCCGCCAGGTCTACGACAGCTTTGTGCGCCCGCGGGAGAGGGTGACCGACTGGCGCACGGCCGTCAGCGGCATCGCGCCGCGCAAGATGCGCCTCGCGCGCGACTTTGAGGACGTCCAGGCCGAGGTCGCCGAGCTGCTCCAGGACAGGATCCTCATCGGCCACGACGTCAAGCACGACCTCGACGCCCTCCAGCTGACCCACTCGATCAAGGACATTCGCGACACATCCAAGTTTCCCGGCTTTCGGCAATACGGCAACGGGAAGAAGCCTGCGCTGCGGAAGTTGGCTGGGGAGATTCTCAAGGTCGAGATCCAGCAGGGGGCGCACTCTAGCGTCGAGGATGCCAAGGTGACCATGGCGCTTTTCAGGAGACATAAGCCGGCGTTTGATGTCGACAATACGAATCGCTTCCCGACTTTTGCGCCGGGGGCCAGGAGTGCGGCAAAGAAGCCTAGGAAGAAGAAGAAATAGAAAGTTCAACCACTTTACCCTGAAGCGAGGGATGATGGATGGACAGGTAAAGCGGCATAAATACCCCCTTTTCAAATTGAAAATTGCCAATTCGAGCTTGACAAGATCTACAAACGCCCAAACGCCCGCCAGTGCCTGTTCCCCCTGTTCATCACAGTGGAATGCCTTCCATTAACTCCAGAGCGCCCTCCCTGCCCACGGTGATAATCGCATCGCCCAGCGTCTTCGTCGCGAAGCCAGCCTCGCAGTATGTGAAATAGTACTGCCAAGTTAGCTTGAGTCATGCCAGTGACGTAGAGAGCGTCGATTTCTTACCTCCCATTTCCTCCTAAACACGTCGACACCGTCCTCCGACATTTCGGGATGTTCCTTCAGGAGCGCCGGCTTGATCGTCGCGTCAAAGTTGCGCATGAACGCTTCCTTCCAGAGCCGCAGCGTCTTGGCGTAGTGGCCACCAATGTTCTCGACCTTCTCTGTGATGAGAGTGCCCTTCGACTCGGTGACAATGTGATTCAGCAGCTGCGTGATGGTCGGGAGGTGGCCGCCGGGGAAAATATAGTGGTTGATAAAACTGGCGCCCAAGTTAGTCAATTTACCTTCACCAAGGCGGTCCCTCGTTGCACATACTCTTCCGTCTTGGCGTACGCCTCGTAGCGCCCCTCGGGCATGGTGATGCACTGGAACACGGCAATGCCGCCCTCCTTCTTCAGCAGCCGGTCAATGCACGCAAAATAGGTGCCCAAGAACTCCTGGCCCACGGCCTCGAGCATCTCAATCGAGACAATCTTGTCGTACGGCTTCTCCGGCGTCGGCAGGGCGCGGTAGTCCATGAGCAGAACCTCGATGCGATCCTGGAGTCCAGCATCACGAATGCGCTCCTCGGCCAACACCTTTTGCTCCTTTGACAGCGTCAGACTTGTCACACGGCACCCGGTCGTCTTGACAGCCTCGATGGCGAAGGAGCCCCAGCCGGTACCAATTTCGAGAACGTGGTCGGAAGCCTTGAGATGCGCGCCCTCGATGAAGCGGTGGAGCTTGGTCATCTGGGCCGCCTCCAGTGTCTCCTCTGGAGCGCTGGCATCAGGGTGGAGGTTCCAGATCGGGCACGAGTACGTCATGTCTGGTGAGAGAAAGGCGGCAAACATGTCGTTGCTAATGTCGTAGTGGGCCGAGATGTTGAGGAGGGCGTTGGACAGCGTGTTCGTCGTGCGCGCCAAGCTCGAGATGGCGGAGGAGAAGCTCGAGATCCAGGTCGTGCCATTGCCCATGGCTTCTCGGTTCACAATGAAGAGCTGCCGTCGCGAGTCAGAAATTCCACATCTCTTCCATACACCCAATGGCTGCTCACCTGGAAGAAGGCTGTCAGATCCTCGCACTCGACCTCGCCAAGCATGAACGCCTCTGCGAACCCCATGTCGGCGAACAAGAACAGGCGCATCCAGAAGGCATCGCTCTTGACGACGAGCTCGACGCGGGGTACGGCATCGGCGCGGCGCGGCGTCGTCTCCCGAACGATCTGCTTCGTTGCGCCCAGTTTCTGTCCAAAGACAGTCCTCGTCTCGGCCGGCTTGTCGACGAGCAGCAATGTGCCCTTTTCGATGGTGGAGAAGGCAGACAGGATGGCGGGCTTTGCAACGGCGAGGGCCGGGCCCCAGGTCAAGCTTCCCACGGCGCCGCGCACGAGCTCTGTGCTGCGGTACAGAGGTTGCGAAACGGCCGCGGGTAGCAACGAAGGGAGCTTGGGCATGATGAAGGCGGGGTGTTGACAGCGGCAGGAGGCTGCGGTAGGGCACTTTTGGAGCAAATAACGAGGACTCTTCGTATTAGAGAGGCTTTACCAAACTCAATTGCGCTTTTGAAAGCGTTGAAAAGGTAGGATGTTCAGAGGGGAAAGGCAAAGTGAAGTGAAGGACAGAGAAGAGGGGAGAGACGAGGGGCACAACAAAAAAAGCTTCCCGTGGCATGGCGCGAGGGCCCAGGCGATCCTCTCTCACCATCGATCATGCCCATGCGACAGACGTGGGGAAGCATGGGCGCTTGCTTGATCGAGGCCGCAGGATGCGCCGGCCAGCGCCAGCGCTGGTTTGGCGGTCTGTCGTGTCTCGGTGGTCGGCAATGGCATCTCACCGTCCGTCGCGCGAGGCGTGGGCCCGGGACCGGGGGTCGATGTTGGGAATAGTGCTTCGAGGATTTGCAGGGGTAGCTGTGTTGTGCCATGTTTGGCTGCGACGAGTCCCTATCTGGTGCTGTCTGTCTCTTGTCTCTGGCAGGGCGGCCACCGCGTGATCCGACGGGCTCTTGTAAGATGTGCAGCTAACCTTCGACGCCAGGCCCAGCGGGACTCGGATCGGCCCAGCTTGGTAGCATTGGGAATGAATCGGCGGCCGGGCACGTCCTGGCACACACGGTATGGCTTGCCGCCGTGCCGTCGAAGGTTTTGTCGGCTTGCAGCTTGGCAGCGTCCTTGGCTTCTTCGTGGATTTGCAGTTTAGGATGCCAGTGCCATACATATGGGAATCGAAGGCATCGTGGCATTGTACCATGTAGGCAGCCCTGCTGCTAGCGGGATAGCCGGGAAGGTCGTCTGAATCCAGTGATGAAGAACAGGGTCGCCTGCATCGGGGTCCTTTGGTTCCTGGAGCCGAGTGGATATAGCTTCGGGGTTCATGCCTCCAAAGGGTCCACCGCGTACATCGATGACATCAACACTCGCCGGTTACGTCCGTCAGTCCTGCGCCTGGTATGCTATGCACATAGCCGACGAGACTGTGGAAACTGATGCATAGAGGTTTTCCTGGCGTATGACGAACATGGCCGCATCCCGTCATGTTGACCTGCCATCGAGAGGTGGCCGTGAGGCTGATGTTAACGGACTGCAAGAGATGGCCACTGGCGAGGGACCAGATAGAGAAGTGGAAGAGGGGGACTGGAACCTCGCCGTGAAACAGGAGGGCCCAAGCTGCGAAACTGCAGGGATCGTGCATCAAGGATCGCTGATCGCCAAGCTCGATGAAAGAGATGGAATGTGGGTGCATAAAAAGGGCACCGTATTCTTGGTCGGCACTTCGCATGGCTTATCGTGGCGGAGTTGCTTATCAGGCAGCCCATTGAAGGGTGGAGCCAGACAATTCTCACCAGCAGACGCGTTCGACGCGTTTACCTGATGAAGCCATCGTAAGTCCATCCCCGCCAAACACAGTCGCCATGTCGAGCGCCATCTTGGACGTACACTCGGAGAAGGCTGCCGCTCCCAAGGCGGTGGCACACCTTCTGCCATGTCGAATCCAACATGACGGACCTGTCGACTCAGCTCCGTCCTTCTGGAACCCAACAACATCTACGGGTGCGCAGGCCTTTCTCCTCTACAATCCATTTCTTCGCTAATTGACACGTTAACAGATGGCAAGTCAAAGGCATTCTTCCGTGGTCGCGAACTGCACGGCAAATCAGTCCGACTTGCCTCGGGCTACCGCGGCATTGTTGTCGAGAAGCAGAACAAAACTATCGAGGCTCCGAGGCCAGACGCCCCGCCACAAGAGGAAGAGGATGACGAAGACAAGGTTGAACGAGGCGCACTCCGGGTGACGGCCGAGTTTGATGAGATGGTTGTCTGGGGCGCGGAAAGCATGGCGGACGCGGCGACCGATCCTTACGTCAGGAGCATGGAGGAGTGGCTGCAGGTTGCTGAGAGCATACATCAGTACGACGAGCCCGCGGGGGACCAACCTGCGACGGCATGACGGAACAGAAGCATTATGGGAATGGAGGGGCATTGGATTAAGCATGGGACGGCGTCGGCGTTGATGATGCTCAAGTATGAAGGGCATGACCTGAAGGCCATGAACAGCGTGGAACAGAAGAGCTTGGAAACTGCAATCACCGAGCACAGTAAGCAAGTCAGATATATGGTACGCAAGTAGAAATTTATAGCAAGGAGGACTGCAAGCGACAAATATAATGCTCATCTCCAAGGCAACTAGTAGGAGACGGCAGCGCTGTCCCTCGATGCACACCATGACACAGGTATTTGGCCTGGTACCAACTGCTGTAGTACAGGTTAAGTACCTATGCGGCCTAGTGTCATGCAATCAATTAAGGTCGCGCCTCGACGCGTCCAAGGCGCGACCCCGCGCGTCCGATTTCACCCCTCGAAATCAACCCCTGGCTTTTCCCATTTTCCCATTTGCCCATTTGCCTTGCTTGCCTCAACACCATCGCCCCGACAACCACCTTCACCCCTCCAAACCATCCATCACCACCACCTTGTTCTATCGCCTCCGTTGCGCTGCCGGCTTGCCCTCTCGAGTAGCCTCAATACCAGCATCCGCAACCATGGCCTCGAGCGAAGCCGGTTACCCCATGTCCGACAGGGCGGCAACCCCCACCGCCAGACGCTATGCCCCGCCCAGCTCTTCGACCGGCGGCCGCCTGCGAGGTCCTCCCTCCGAGATGACGGGCGCGCCGAGTGACGATGAGGGCGACGGGTTCGCCGATGACCAGGTCGTGCGCGGATCGAAAAGGCCACAGGATTCGGCCAACATCCCCAAGGTCGAGGATCGCATTGGTCTTTTGATCCAAGAACAGTTTGGAGATTTCCTCGAAGGGTAAGGCCTCCTTTTTTTTTTGTCAGGAGAGGAGCAAAAGATTTCACGCTGACGAATGGCCCCAGCTTCGTCGAAGAGCGCGATCCCCATGGAGCGCCGCCCTCGAGCGCCGTCACCACCGATAAATACTACGTTGCCCAGATCCACGGCATGCGAACATACCAGCTCTCCACCCTCTACGTCGACTTTAGGCATCTCGGCCAGTGGCAGAATGGCTCTCTCTCCGACGCCGTCGCCACCAACTACTACCGTTTCCTTCCCTTCATTACCGCAGCACTACACGGTGCTATCGCCAAGCACGAACCCCAGTACTTCCGCGAACATCGTCAGCCCACGGCCTCGAGCAACCAGACGAGCTCAGCTGCGAGCAATGCCGCCTCGGCAAGCCAGTCCGAGCTCGGCAGCAAGACGAGCAACCAGCAGACCGATAAGCTGTTCGCCATTGCCTTCTACAACCTGCCCCTCGTCTCTCGTGTGCGCAGTCTGCGCGCCGCCAACATTGGCCAGCTCCTCTCCATCTCCGGCACCGTCACGCGCACCTCCGAGGTCAGGCCCGAGCTGTCCCTCGGTACCTTCCTCTGCCAGGCCTGCAGGACGGTCATTCCCAACGTCGAGCAGACATTTCGCTACACCGAGCCCACGCTGTGTCCCAACCAGACCTGTCAGAACCGCTTTGCATGGCAGCTCGACATCCGCCAGAGCACCTTTATCGATTGGCAAAAAGTGCGCATCCAGGAGAACTCGTCCGAAATCCCTACCGGCAGCATGCCCCGAACCATGGACGTCATCATGCGAGGAGAAATTGTCGACCGCGCCAAGGCAGGCGAGAAGTGCATCTTCACCGGTGCCCTGATCGTCGTGCCTGATGTCAGCCAGCTGAGCATGCCTGGACAAAAGGCGTACTCGATCCGCGACGACAAGAGCGCCGGCAACGGTAACGACGCTGGCGGCGCAGGCGTCTCCGGCCTCAAGTCTCTTGGTGTGCGCGATCTCACATACCGCCTTGCCTTCCTCGCATGCATGGTTCTGCCAGACAACAGTTCGTCCGGCCGGTCTGCCCACGCGCAGGTGTCGGACATTATGACGGCCCTGACCGACAACACACCCGAATCTGCCATTGATGCAGAGGAGGCGCAGGCTACCGTGCTCGCGACAATGACACAAGAGGAGATCGCGCAGGTGCGTACCATGGTTCACACAGATCGCATCTACTCGCGGCTCGTCAACTCCATCGCGCCCATGGTCTACGGTCACGAAGTCGTCAAGAAGGGTATTCTGCTGCAGCTCTTGTCCGGTCTGCACAAGACGACGGCCGAGGGCATGCAGCTTCGTGGTGACATCAACGTCTGCATTGTCGGTGACCCGTCGACGTCAAAGTCCCAGTTCCTGAAGTACGTCTGCTCCTTTGCGCCCCGCGCCGTCTACACCAGTGGCAAGGCCTCCTCCGCCGCCGGTCTCACGGCCGCCGTCATGAAGGACGAGGAGACGGGCGAGTTCACCATTGAAGCCGGTGCCCTCATGCTTGCCGACAATGGCATCTGCGCCATTGACGAGTTTGACAAGATGGACATTGCCGACCAGGTCGCCATCCACGAAGCCATGGAACAGCAGACCATTTCCATCGCGAAAGCCGGCATCCAGGCGACCCTCAACGCGCGCACTTCGATCCTCGCCGCCGCCAACCCCGTCAGCGGCCGCTACAACCGCAAGACGTCGCTGCGCGCCAACATCAACATGAGCGCGCCCATCATGTCGCGTTTCGACCTCTTCTTCGTCGTGCTCGACGAGTGCTCCGAGGCCGTCGACCGCCACCTCGCCGAGCACATTGTCGCCATCCACCAGCTGCGCGACGAGGCCGTCGAGCCCGAGTACGACACGGAGACGCTGCAGCGCTACATCCGGCTCGCGCGCACGTTCCGCCCCGAGTTCACCGAAGAGGCGCGCGAGACGCTCGTCGAGAAATACAAGGAACTCCGCGCCGACGACGCCCAGGGCGGCGTCGGCAAGAACAGCTACCGCATCACGGTCCGCCAGCTCGAGAGCATGATCCGCCTGTCCGAGGCCATCGCCAAGGCCAACTGCGTCAATTAGCTTGATCCGCACATGGTCGTCGAGGCGTACAACCTGCTGCGGCAGAGCATCATCTCGGTCGAGCACGACGACGTCGAGTTTCAGGACGACGACGACGAGGGCGTCGACGCGCCGCTCGAGGACGGCGCCACGCTGCGCCGCGCCGCGCGCGAGGCCACGGGCCAGCCGGCGGATGACGAGGACGACGAGGGCGACGCCGCCATGGGCGAGACCTCTGGCGAGCCGCAGAAGAAGAAGCAGACGATCACGTACGAAAAGTACATCAGCATGGTCAACCTCTTTGTGCAGCGCGTCAACGACGACGAGGCCGGCGGCGCCGGCGAGGGCGTCGACGGCGATGCCCTCACGCAGTGGTACCTCGAGCAGGCGGAGGACCAGATGGACGGCGAGGACGACTACCACCGGGAGAAGGCGCTGGCGGCGCTCGTGCTGAAGAAGATGGTCAAGGAGAACATCCTCATGGCCGTCCGGGGGTCCGGGCTTGCTGAAGACGGCGACGGTGCCGCGGCCTCGGGTGACGGGGCGGTCGTCTATGTCCTGCATCCCAACTGCGCCGTGGAGGAGTACTAAGCGGGACGCTGTATGGTTGTGTCATGAGTATGAGGACGGCTGGGTGCATGGGGGGCGTATGGCGTTTGGGGGAGCGCTGCGGCTCGTGGTTTGGAAGATTTGTCCAAGATGATAGAACGTGTGATGAATTGAGAAGAAATCTTCTTTTGATGGACCGCCCATATATCTGTACGCTGTTGATTCATTTGATGACATGGTCAGAACTCGGCCTGAGAAAGTTCTCATGTCGTGCTGTGACGGCCTTGGAATGTAATCACGCCGTGCTATGCACATTGGCCTGAGAAATGTATCTATGCTGTACTTTGTAAGCCATGTGATCGGCTTCATTGGGCATTCTTGAAACGATGTTATATTGACTACAAAGCGGCGTGGTGCCACTGGCGACGAAGCAAAATCGTGACTATGAGAACTCTTGGCCGAGGACATACTCTTCTTGATGGCTTGACCTCAATCATACCCAGGTGAATCAGCTCCTCTTGGTTCTGAATGGATGTTCACCGACCAGCAAGCGCGGTGCTACCACAGGCGCCCAATGCAGTCAATGGGTAACGATATACATCAAAATTGTGACAAGTTGCAGATCCAGCGCCTGCAGGGTCCAGAGCAATAAGGAAGGATCTAGTTTGAGTCAGCTTATTTAGTACAAGCAGCTCCGGGTACAAGCAGGCAATGATCGTCATTCATAGCGAAATTGGACTAGATATGATGGTGTGTGTAGGCCTTACCGATCACGATTATCGGGAGATTGAGCAAGACTTGCAGCACGACGGTTATGAAGCAGTGGAGAAGGTTTCCCGAGCGAGGAGGATGAACAGAGTATGCGAGACCAAGGTACCAGCCATCATGCCACGAAGTATTCTTATTCCTCCACGTCAACTGGTGAACAACAAGCAATCCATTATGCGGCAGAAGGGATGGAGACAACGGCGCTGCCGGAAATGTGACGCAAAATTCGTATCGCAGCGATTCAGAATGAACACCACCTTCAAGGGATGTATGATCCTACCTAGGTAAGCAAGTAAGGTAGGTTACCTCGGGTATGGGACCTAAGGTACCTTGGGTGGTGCCAATACACCGTCTCTCACGCGATATAGAATGAAGGGGAGGGACATAGTGTCCGCGGAGATTATGAGCGGCGCTCAGGACCGCGGGAGCACGGTTACGGGGGAAAGCCCTAGCTCTGAATCAACGCAGTCTTGTTTGAACCATAGCTCAGACTCGATGCACTTATATCATTCCGCTCGCTTGCTCACGACCCCGGATCTGTTCCGGCAGAGGCAGGTATCCACGGTATCGTAGCCTTTGATTAACGCGATGATGATGTCGCCGCTTACGTCGACCAGGTCTATGTTCCTTTTCAAGCGGACCGATATGCTGCCTTGTCCGCTCCGGTCAGCTCATCAGCTCCACCATGTTCAATTTTGAGTCCGATAGAAGCAACTCGTCCGTGGAGCTGAGAAATTCGCTCGAGCTGGTCATAGGTCCTCGGCGCTGTGCGTAGGAAAGGTAAGTATTGTAAATCCCCATCAAGATAAAAGGCGTCGAAGAGGCTGCCCTGATCGAGAACATCGTGGCTGCCTTCGAACAATTAATATTAACGTATCTTGCCAGCCTCGAAGTGTGCTTGTCGGCCATCTAATTCTCGGAAATCAGTATCTGCCAGACCTTCTAGTCATTCTCCAAATCTAGCACCCGAACAAGCCAGTGCTATCGTGAACTCTTGCACACGTTTCCAAAATGCGCACGAAGATCCCGCCCCAGCGAGTTATACCAGAACTGATGAGCGGCCCAGATGATAGACTCTTTTTCCTCATACGTGCGAAGTGAAGAGACAAGAAAAGAAAAAGCACATCCTCGCCTTGGACAAAACACCCGTAGTATCATCTCTACTAAGCGGCATGAGTGCTCCTACATTACGTGACGACTTCATGCTAAAAAACGGCCCTCTTTTCTGCATAATAATAGTCGTAAATCAAACGAGTCATAAACCAAGGTCTACATGACGAATATGCATTCGAAACAGAAGAAGTCAGCCATGACATACAGAACAAGATGCTCCAGGTTCAGGGGGCCATGGTCGTCTTCATAGTGCAAGTAGCATACACAGGATCAAGTATGCGGTTCCTGAGGGAGATCAGAGTGGTGGGCATATGACTGTTGATATCTACATAGTCATCCTACCCGTTGCTGTGAGTGTTGAGCACCTTGTTGGGCGGTGGGCGAAGCCATCTTGGAAATTAGATTCTTTACCAACCTATCTCAGGAGGTAGGCCAGTACAATGAACGTATCTCGGAGGAGCTCGTCGCTCCAGAGAAGAGTGAGGCGCGAGTGCTCCCAATACTGCCGCCTCTTACATGGTAGTGCCTACTGCCCATTCCAAGCAAATTCTTCCAATGATGCTGGACCCCATTTCCAGAACGTAGACGGCCAAGATGTAACACAGCTCACACCAACATGAGTTTGTGTGCCTCATCAACCTCGTGAGAATGAGCCAGACCTGCTGGCAGACAGATACAAAGCGGCAATGGACATTCTCAAGGAAGGAAGACAAGTCAAAGCCAAGCACACAACACGCGCTCACGGGGCAAACATCACACGAATCCAAAGAACTGCAGTACAGCTTGTTTCTCCACTAGCCTACTCGGACCAGACCAGTCGGCCACACGCGCAAAACCGCCCTCGCGAACTAGCACATCCGCGTCCTCCCTCGGGCACGCACCGTTATGCGCCAAGACGAAACCTTCACACCCTTCATCCCCCTTCCGTCGCTTCATCCAGCTCATCCATCGTCACAAAAAGCCGTACCCCGCCCCCTTTCCACCCCCTGGCTCCCAGCTCCCTAATCCTGCGCCGTATGTACCGCAAGCCAGGCCCGCCCCTGCGTAAGACAGTACAGCAGCCACCCGAAAGACAAAATTCAGCATTGCCATCCATCCTTCGCATTGCGTTGCCGTGCGTTGCTATGTGTGTGCGCGTGTTGTGGTATCAGGCAGCACGCTGCCCTCGGGGTTTGGTGTTATTGAAAGTGGCGTGCCTCGCTCGTGGTGCCGCAAACGCTGGAATCAAAAGAAGAAGAAGAAAAATAGAGGAGAAAAGGAGGCGCGGCCCAGGCGAACGCCCATCGCAAGAAAACAAGACGGTATCCGCTTGGTTTCGCTGTCCCCGCTGACGCGTGCCGCGAGGTGTGACGGGCCTCATAGCGCATGGCGGCCAGACGGGGACATCGAAGCGCTCATTCAAAGTTGTTACACGACTGTCTTGTCAAACAGTCCATCACATGCGACTCTGGCATGTAGGATCGGAAGTAAAGGGTATGTTGAGTTGAAGGCCATTCGAGCCTCCCAGTCCACAAAACCAGGGTGGGCATCTGTGGTGTTATTGGCAATTAGTCGTTTGATTTCCGCCACGTCGTAGACCCGGGAGCACGGATTCGATTCGTCTCAGTCTCACGTGCTGAAGTGCCCGGGTTCTTGACCACAACCTGCTCGTCTCCGGCTGCCTAGGCCGCGTGAGTGGGAGTGCCGCGTCGGGTCCAGTCTGACCCTCGGCCTCTTGTGGGGGGGGGGGGGCCTCGGTAACTGCCGCGGCCGCCGCGCGTCGCAGTTGGTGGCGGGACATCGCTAGAGGTGCTTGTCAAGACCGCCTCCACGGGGCGCCGCTGACGCGCGAGGCCCTCGTCCGGAAGCGCGTCGAGGGTTGCTCCGGGAGCGCAGCGCTGGTGCGGGAACCGACTTGAGCGCGTTCATGCCGGGGAGGAAGATCCGGTATTCGGGACCTCCCTGTCCCACGTCTTGCGGGATCCAAAACTGAGGCGCAGACGTAATCTCAATAATGTTGAAGCGTCTCGGCGCAGGTCGCTCCGGAGGCGGCGCGGGGTGCCAAGCTGCATCAGGCATCTCCCTCGGCATGCGGATCAGAGGCAGAGAGCCCATCTCCTGCTCCTCGAAGCAGCTCTCCGAGACTGGCTTGGTCGTTAGGAAACGCTGGCTGTCACGGAATCGCTTCTTGGCAGAGGCGAAGCCCCGAGCAGCATCCTGTGAGGCTTGGGCGATGCTTTGGCCGGTGTGCTGGGGAAGGCACACAGTGGCGGGGTTGGGGCGGCCGAGCTCGTCGAAAGCACTTTTGCTAGCAGGCTCAACAACGGATGCCTTGGGCGGCGAGATGATCGGATGGCGGGCTGAAGGGGCCTTTCGGTCGGAGAAGAGGTCGCGGAACTTGTCACCCCAAACAGTCTGCCCGGCGCTCTTGTGGCTGTGATCTCCCCCACCTGGCCGAGAATGCGCCCACTCGTTGCTGGGACGCCGAGGGCCTTGGGGAGGGGGAGGGGCTCCATCTCTGTAAGGGGCCGGGTTGGCCCACGAAAACTGTGGTCCGGACCTCGGGCCGTTGTTGGAAGCGGCCGCTGACGGAGGAAGTCGAACGACGGGTTGGGGTCGCGGCAGAGAAACATGGGGGTGCAGCGCATCACCGTCGAATGCGGGATGGCCGAGCATATCGGGGGGTGGGGGAGAGGGCGATGTTGATCGTCCCGGCTCAGCCGGGCCAGCTGACTCGAGCCGGATATCTCGTGTGGGGAAGAAGCGGGAGGTGCGAGACTGCGAGGCAGGCGAGCCACCGGGGAGCAAGGGTGCCGAAGGTGTACGGTCTGCATGAGAAGGCTCGCGACGCGAGATGGTGACATCTGCCTGAGATCCTTGGCTGGTGTTTTTGGCCGAGGGTCGCCAATTGTCGACAACTTCTGGTTGAGTATCGGCGTACGTCATGCCACGCTCGGCTAGGTGGCGGTCCTGCTCTGCCTGGCGGGCCCTGCTATGCTCGAGGGTTGCCCTGTCATTATCGGCGATGGCGCTGGACCACTTGCTCCTGTTGCTGGCAAGGTTCGCGTGCTCCGGGCGTGCAACGGGAGCTGTCGAATCGTGGGTTCTGCGTGCACTAGGTGGTGCGATTGGTGCAGGTCCCTTCTTGGATTGCGAGGGGGGAAGCTGGCCAGGCTGAGAGACGGGGGGCGATCCGACAGCAGCGTTGAACGTGCCATTGCCAAGTCCCCGAGTATTCGGAGCCCAGACGCTTCCTGCAGCCTGAGGGGCCGGAGGAGGTCCCCATGTAGCGGTACTGAAGCGTTCAGGTTGGGAAGGCGCAGCGGAACCCCACGACGGGTTGCCGCTATTATTTGATTTATCTCGGAGCTGAGGAGGGACAAAGTTGTCGCCGGCAGACTTGTTCTCTGCCGAGCGCAGATGCGGGGGCACGGAAGCCTTCATAGCGGTTGGCTGTTCAGCGACGGCTTTGGGCGAGTTGTCGGCGGCCGACTTGTCGATGGTGCTGAAAGCCGTGCCAGGCGTCGTCGCCGTCGTAGTGGTAGAAGTGTTTGAGGCTGTTGCGGATTCCTTGGGGTGGGTTGCGGGGTCTGAGTCTCCAGAGCCTTGACGTTGTTGTAGTATATGGGCAGGATGCGCGCCTTCCTCCTTCGAAGCCTCCTTGGCGCTCTTGCGTTCGGGGGCAGGGCCCATGGCGTCGAGTCGAGCCTTGATGCGCTTTTGCTTCTCGGCTTCTTCGCGAGCCTCTTCGTCCCTTCGGCGTTGCCTGGCGAGCTCGAGTCTCTCACGCATAACCTTCTTCTGAATCTCAAGATCCTCCTCGACCGACCTCTGCGGCACCGCAGGCTGAGCTGGAACGGCATGAGCGAGCGCAGGCGAAGCGTGAGGCAGGGCAGCGGCATGGCCGGCAGGCGGGTGGGCCGAGTCTGGCGAGACAGGACCGTCAATGGAGACGGCGAACGAGGGCCTGCGGGCATTCGGTGGTTGGTCGTGCATTCGTTGGGAATATGGAACATTTCCGAGGTTGGAACTACCACGGCGGCGTCCATAGGATCCCTCCTGGGCTGCGCGGCTGGTCTGGAACGCAGCTGACGGCTCGGGGTGGTCATGGTGAGGACGTTGCATCACGGCAGGATGTCGCGCATGAGGGTCGGCACGGAATGAGCCTCTTCGATCCCCTACAGGCTCATAGCGGCCAGACTGCGAGTTGTAAAGCTCGCGATTGCCGGCGGCGCCTCCCTCACGCCATGCTGATCGGCTGAAATCGTCGGCAGCGATCTCTCTCGCGGGCGGGGGAGGTGATATACTGGGCTGGAGGCCATCCCTGGTAGATAGACGGTGGTGATTCGAAGGATGGATGAATGGTGATTCAGTAGCGGCAGGTGACGACTTTTCGACGGGAGGAAGTTTGGCCCAAGGAGATTTGGCAGGACTTGCGGGCGCGGGCGGCTTCGCGACGAACGTGGGCTTCTCGACAGAACCGGGTTTCAGAATCATGCCCTTACCAGAGGGAAGACCGCTAGACTTGGGTAGTGATGTCGCCGTTTCTGGAGGAGCTGGCGATTTGGAGGGCTCGATCAACTGCGCTTTGTCCTTGGCGATGGCTGGAGCCGGAACAGGCTCTGGGGCCTGCACTGCCTGTTCCTCGGGTTGCGCCGGTAAAGTGACTTTGGTGCCGTCGGTCCAGGTGATGGTATCCGGAGCCCAATCGTCGTCGTCGTCGTCGATATCGGCCCAGTTGTTCTGTCCCTGCGGCGTATCGGGCCCTAGACGGTTCGCGATATGGACTCCATACTTGACCAACTCTTCATCGGTGAACTTCCTAGGCTCGGGCGGAGGGACAGCTACAGGACGGGCAGGTCAGTTCATTATGCTCAAAAAAGATACAGATGTCATCCGTTGCTGCTGCCGATGAGCTGTGACTCACGTCGATTCTTGTTCCAGACGGCGCTGGCATCAGGGCCGGATGCCGCCTGTCCACCGTTGGAAGAGGAAGAAAACTTGTTGACGGAACCTGCAGCGCCCGACTTGGCGACAAGTCGCGGACGGGATGCCGACAGGGTAGAGGATGAAGAGGGCGCAGCGCTGAGGCCCGAGGCCGTGTTTGTCTTGTCGCTGGGTTTCGCGGCGGGGTTGGAGGGCGCGCTCTTGGAGGCGGCGAGAAACTTCTTGTTCACCGAGACGGCCTTGAAGGTGGCGGGTTTCTTGACGGTAGACGAGCTGCGCAGGTGGCCCTTGTCGCCATCGGTGCTCTTGGTCGCAGAGGTCGAGTCGCCGCGGGACGCCTCTGTGTCGGAGCCTCCGCTGACACTAACATCTGCTGAGTTGATGTGGTCTTCGACGCTGGTGATGTGCTTGTTCTCAATCTCTTCGATGGCAGGGCTGCCGTTCAGATATGCGCGGTCCAGGACGGCATCGTGGGAGTCGGTCTCGTCGTTGGTGTTCTGCTGGGATGGGGAGGTCATGGTCGAGTGGCCTGGTCGTCGGTGTGGTTGCTGGTTCGGTGACGTGGTCATATGCGGGAGGACCGAAACGTCGCATGAGGCCTGATGCGCAGTGTGATGCTCGCTGATAGATGTCATAGGATCCCGAGCGATATGGAGTGCCGGATACCTAAGCTGAGGGTTTGGGTAGGAAGGGGG